ACTATATTTAGTACACGACATTTGTCTAACCCAAAGTGTATACTGATATCATTTGAAAAATGTTCTATAGTTTTTAGCATTTGATCTAAGTGATTTCGAGTGGAAGCCATGAGTTTCAAATCATCCATATACAACAGATGATTAAGCTTCGTCACTACAGTGTTGTTGTTTTTAATGCTGAAACCTGCGTCAGTGGAGGTCAATAGCTGGGATAGTGGGTTCATCGCTAGACAGAACCACAAGGGACTCAGCGAGTCTCCTTGGAATAGGCCGAGGTTAATTGCGATATTTTCCGTTTCGATATTTTTTTCACCAGGTGAACTGTGTTTAGTGAAACCAGTTTTCACTAAACTTATTTAAATGATGCAATTATGATTCTATCACACCATTTAATTTTCTTATCGCAGGGTTTTACTAGTGCTTCAATATCTATGCTTTACATATGACAGGTACGGTCCAAAGAATACCGGAATAATAAAAACATATATAATACAACATTATATATTGAAATACAATTCACACTCAAATATCAATAAAAAATATCTCATAGAATGATTATCTAAATTTTGTTCAACGTGCGTGAACCTTTAAAAATCAATGGTATATACAATATAAATTTAAATTTCAAATCAAAATTGTTGTAAATCTCCTGATCAAAATATTCCTATCTTTTCTAAAGCAATTGTTAAAAATGTGTTGTTAATAAAGAAAAACTAACGAATGGTAAAACTATCTCTCTGATGATAAGTTGTCCAATTCCTTGTTCATTGTAGCCTACACTATCTATTCTTAGCAGTTCCCTAGGTAATCAGCAATCTCACTAGGAACACGAGGTATTCTATTACAGCCGGGAGCCTGATTGTTTTTAGTTCCTCTGTATCTTTACAAACTTCGCCTAATGTTGGAACCATCACCTTCAGTTCCAATATTTTGTACCGTATTTGGTTTTCTACTTGACGTCTGGGAAATTTAAAAGCTTTTCAATATGGCCTTTACATCGCTCTATTATCTCATTGTTATCTGTTACGGTATTCCAATGTTCATCTTTTATTGAGGTTGTTCGTGCGTTTTACTGATCTTTTACAATTCATATTTTTTAACTCTCTTGTCTTTGTTTGGCTGTACTTTTTTTAAGTTGTTTTATCTTAGTGCGCAAAAGGCTTCAAAACTCTTATGCATTGGATTTTGCCAGCCCGAAATGTAAGATATTCCCACAGTGTATTTATTAAACTAGGTGGACATAGATCCAGATATTGTGCATGATGACAAATGGACTCATTTATGTCTTTATCGATGCTACACTCTTTAGCAGTATTAGTCTCCTCGATAATCACCGTATGGCGCCTCGAAGGTTGAATATTTACCATTTAGAGTAAAAATAATGCAAACATGTCTCATCGTTATTGAAGTGAATTGCTATGATAAACGATTATAACCATTATAAAATGGTTGTAGTGCGTGATATATTTTACGAATAAAAGCATGCTTCTCGAAGTGACTCTTTATAATTTGCAAGCGTTTAGCAGTAAGAGTTGTAAAACTAAGACCAATAAAAGGCCACTATAGACAGTATCAACAAAATTTCTAGATCTCTAAAAACATCGTAACTCTATATTTAAATATTTATTTTCCCTACTTTTTCTATTACTTTATAATTAAAATATCAATAAACACAAAAAAACCAGACGCCATAGCAGTTCGATTCGATTTTGATAAAGGTTTTAGACAATTGTAGACGTAGATTACTGGACGATTACGGCAGGTAAACCAAAACTGAAGCTCAATTATTATTTTATAAAATATTATTCTTCTTCTTGTGCCGTCTTCTAACGAAGGTTGGCGATCACTTCTTTAAACGCTTCTCGATCTTTTGCAACGTGAAATATCTGTTCAACACTGTGGTTAGTCCAATCTCTGATATTCCTCAGCCAAGATTTCTTCTTTCTTCCCAAGCCTTTTCTTTCCTCTACTCTACCTTGCATGATGACTTGTAGCAGAGAGTATGTATCGTTTCGGAGTATGTGACCCAGATACGATGTTTTTCTTATTTTAATTGTGTTCATAAGCTTTCTGCCATGTCCAACTCGTCTTTACACTTCCTCATTTGAGACTTTTGTAGTCTAATGAATCTTCAAAATACGCCTATATAGCCACAATTTGAATGCCTACAATTTTTTTATAGATTGGGCTTTCAGAGTCCAAGCTTCTACCCCATATAATAGTTGTGACCAAACATAATATTCGGCTAACCTCAATCTGATGGCCATACTCAATTTCTTATTTGTAAACATTGACTTGTATTTTATAAAGCCTTTTCGAGCTATTTCTATTCTGACCTTTATCTTCTGCTGTTGATCTAACGGTAAGTTTATAATTGCTCCGAGGTATTTATATTTGTCGACTCTCTCTAGGGGTTTACCCTCCAATGTCAGTTGTATGTTGTCAACAGGGTTTTTTGAGATCACTATGTATTTGGTTTTACTTATATTCATTGTTAGTCCCATCTTTTTGCTTTCTCTGTTAACGATTTCCAGGAGAGTTTGTACATCGTCTATATTCTCTAGCATGATTGCGGTATTGTCTGCAAATCTTATGTTATTAATGATGCTCCCTCCAATCCTTACACCTTCAGTTCTTTCCCATAGTGCCTCCTAAAATATTAGTTGGGAGTACACATTAAATAATTGTGGAGACAGCACACATCTCTGTCTGACTCCTCTTTGAATTTCCACCTGGTTTGTCTCACTATCTTCCACCCGTACGACCGCTGTTTGATTGTAGTACAGATTTTTGATTAAATTAATATCCTTGGGATCTAGGTGTATGTGTTTCAATGCATGTTTGAGTTTACCATGTTGGACTCTATCAAAAGCTTTTTGGAAATCTATAAAACATATGAATACGTTTTTATTATATTCCCTGCATTTTTGTAATAGTACCGTCATTGCGCACAGTGCATCTCTTGTTCCCATTCCACATCTAAATCCAAACTGTGTATTGTCTAATTGTTCTTCACATTTTTTATATATACGCTGCTGAATAACTTTGAGTAGTATTATTAAAGTGTGGCTGATAAGGCTAATTAATCGGTACTCATTGCAAGATTTAGGATTATTTTTCTTGGGTAATGGTAATTAGTAATCTAAAGATAGATTTTAACCATTCATCCGGGATTTGACCATCGTGGTATATTTTATTAAATAATTTAGTTAGACACTCTATATTCTCGTCATTCAGGATTTTTAATATCCCTACAGGAATTTCATCGGGACCTGGCGCTTTACCTTTTTTGAGATTTTAATTGCCTGTTTAACCTCTGATATCAGAATTTTTAGATTTTCATTAGTTGGTAATGTATCATTTATTTCTTCCCTGTTATCTGCGAATAAGTCCTTGATGTATTTCTCCCAAGTTTGTTGTTTTTCTACTGCTGATAATTTGGGATCCCCCTTGGAGTTTCGTATAACTTGTGGTATTCTCTTCCGATTATTTCCTGTAATTTCTTTCAGTTTCTTATGTAGCCCATGTGTGTCGTGTTTCATATTAAGTTCTTCTATTTCTCTACAATTTTCTACCATCCAGTGTTCTTTAGCTTCCTTGCGTTTCTACTAGTTTCTTCATTTGCTTGTACTTCTCTTTATTTGTATTTTTGTATTTTCGTTTTTCTTCTATGAGGTTTATAATATCTGTTGTCATCCAGTCTTTTTTGGCAATTGGTTCTTTTTTACCCACAAACGTATTACCAGCGTTAAGTACTGCCCATTTCATTTCGTTCCAGGCACTATTAATATCTTTTATTGACGCGTCTGCGAATGCTGGTGCAACTGCTTCATTTATTTGTTGTTGACATTTTTCACCCTCAAGCTTTGAGAAATCTAGTCTCTGAATTTTACTTTTTTCTGTTGTTTTCTCAGTTTAATATTAAAGTTGGCAAGAAGTAGATTGTGGTCGGAGTCTGCATCAGCACTAGGATATGTTTTAACGCTTTTAATTCCATTTCTAAATCTTTTGTTGACAAGAATGTAATCGATTTGGTTTCTTATCAGATTATTATTGTTGTCTCCTGGTGCACTCCAAGTATAGAGTCTTCTTCTTGGTAATTGATAAAAGGTGTTTGTGATGACTAATTCTTTCTCTTGACAATATTGTACTAATTGTTCTCCTCTTTCATTTCTAATTCCTAGACCATAATTCCCTACGATATCTTCTACTTTCCCTTTACCGACTTTGGCGTTAAAGTCGCCCATTATTATGTTGACTTCATGTTTTTTTATGTTTTTCGTTAGTTGTTCTAAATCTGAATAGAATATATCTATGTCATTATCGGTGCTGCTTGATGTTGGAGCATAAATTTGAATTATGTTTATGTTTATTGGGTGGGTTTTCAACTGTAACATTATTATTCTTTCATTATAGGGAATAACATTTGAGACTTACGGTTGTAGTGCTTTTTTATTATGATTCCTACACCATTTTTGTGATCACCAGTACTGCTGCCCAAGTAATAAAGAACAATGTCGTTGTGATAACACTGTCCAGCACTGAGCCATCTTACTTGGCTAAGGCCAAGTATACCTATTGTAAGTCTGCTCATTTCTAGTGATACTGTTGCAAGTTGTCCAGTTTTATATAATGTTCGTACATTCCACGTTGCAATACGATTTATATTATTTATTTTGTTTTTCCTCCTGGAAATTCTTCGCACCTCTGTCCCATTTAAGAGACGCCAGGCACTCGGGGCCGTTTCGTTTTGATTCTTCATTTTGTGATTTTTCTTATAAAATATATGGATTATTAAATGCGTTTGAATAGAAGTAACGAGTCCGACTGTAAAAACATCAAGATCTCTTGTAAATTCCGAACCTATACTTATACTATACCCATCAATAAGCAAGCAGTGGCACAACAAGTGGTCAATCTTTAAAATACATCATAACATATACACAGCAACTAGATAATATGGTACCAAACATTTCAGAGATTTTAAAAAGGTCTCTTACCTCATCAAGTCTATCATAGTAATGATTTGTAAAAGTGTCGTTTTCTAACAATAAATCCTCAATATCATCAACATCATTATCGCCGTCACAAAGCAATGTCATGTATTGGGTGGTTTGCATTCTGAAAAAATAAAAACAATTTTAAACTTTATATATGTTTAATATTTAATTAATATTGTAGCTAATTCTCTTGTGGCAAGCAAGACTCATTAGCTCTTTTATCTCTTGAATTCTCCGGTAACCTGGAACTCATACCAGGCAATAATCCAGAGCTCACCTTAGGCTTTATATAAGTCCACATTGACTCCGTGCATATATTGATCTGCTTTAGTTCGAAACCCCTTTGTTATTTTCCCATACGTGTATAAAGAACATACATGTACAATATATCGAATGATCATATACTATGCATGACCGACATACGTACCTACTTTGACCACAAGGGTCTCCCCCATTCTGTTTATGTGGTTATTCCATTCTTTTTTTTTCTATTTAGTATCCATTCGTATGGACATATGATGAGGACGTAACCGAACACAATTACAAGAAAAGTTCATAAAACAAAGAACATTGAAAAAAGAAAAAGAGACAGACCAAGAAAAAATAGATACAACAAGTGGTAGAGGCGGGAAAAGTTAAACAAAAATCACTCGAGGAATAAAAATAAAAGCACGAAATAACAAAGAATAAAAGGGATGGTTGACTGGAAATTAAAATAGCTAACCCAAATTCTTGGGAGGCAGGTCTGGATCTTAACATAAGGAAAACCAAAATACTCGTAATAAGTAAACAACAGAATATAAAACCGTCTATATATGTAAATAATACCAAACTTGAGCAAGTTGATAAAATCGTCTACCTTGGACAGCAATTAAATTGTAATGCAGAAAATCACGGCGAAATTAGATCCAGAATAGAGCAGGCTAGAGCTGCTTTTAGAAGGATGTCCAAGGTGTTATGTAACAGAGACCTAAAATTGGCATTAAGGATCCGCCTACTTCGCTGCTACGTGTTCTCGGTCTTACTTTATGCTGTCGAGTCCTGGACTGTGAATAAAATCGATCTAAATCGCCTTGAGGCTTTCGAAATGTGGTGCTATAGAAGAATTTTAAAAGTTTCCTGGGTGGAGAAGATTCGTAACTCCACAATACTAGAACGTCTCAGCAAGACTACTGAGATCATAAAAAGCATCAAGCAGAGAAAGCTGGAATATTTCGGTCATGTAATGAGAGGTCCCAAATATAGATTGCTACAAAACATCATGCAAGGAAAAATAGCAGGCAAACGCAGTCCAGAACGAAGAAGAACCTCATGGTTAAAGAACTTGCGAGACTGGTATGGTGTAGATACAAGCACGCTATTTAGGGTGGCAGTGAATAAAATTAAAATAGCTATGATGGTAACCAACGTTCTGAAAGGACATGGTACATGAAGAAGAAGAACCCAAATTCGACATCCTGATAGAGTAAACGGAAGGGAAGAAAGAATGGAAGAAAGCATCCATTCGTTTATACACTGTACGTTACATTTTCTGCTAATGTCTTCTCTTTCGATCTCTTAACGTATTTCTTGTAATTCTGCTCAGTGCTCCCATCTCTGCCGTTTACAGTAGCCTTTGTGTTGCGGCTATGTTATGTCTTGTTTCTGAGGCATATGCCATCATTGGTCTTATACTGGCTATATAAATTCTTGACTTTATCTCAGTGTTAATGTGTCTGTTTTGCCATATAGTGTTATTAAGGCACCCTTCCAGTCTATTTGCTTTTGTTCTTGATCTATCACTTCTTTGTCTAGGTCTCAATAGATAGATAGTGTAATTTCCATTACTTGTTTAATACTATGGCCACCAATTTCTATTTTTCATCTAACAGTTCTTTGCTATGTACTATTGTGTTAGTTTTCTAAGATGAAATTGTCATATTAAATTTTTTTGCACTTACGTTAAACCTGTGGGCCAGACTTTGCAGACTATCTTCATCATGGGCTATCAATATTATGTCGTCTGCATAACAAAGTATTTTTACTTCTTTGTTTCCCATTATATATCCTCTTCTCTTACTTTGTTGATACTTTTGACTATTTTCTCCATGATTAAATTAAAGAGCATAGGGCTCAATGAGTCCTCTGTCTTATTTCGCTGCCTATTTTTATTGGCTATGTGAGGTGTCTATTTATTCTGACTTCCACTTTATTGTTTTGGTAGATGTTTTTAATAGTTTTTTAATATTAAGGGAACTCCTCTATTATACAGAAGATGGATTACATCTATCTTAATCTGTCAAATGTTTTCTTTAAGTCAATCAAATAAAGAAATACTAGTCCATTATACTCTAGTAATTTCTCAGTAATTTGTTTTATAGAAATATTGCATCTGTACACGATCTTCCAGTACGATAATTGTAAAATTTTAGTTGGGAGTTTTAGGGTAGTATTTAACAAGTATATAGCTCTGTAGACTTTTCTGACAGTTTATATCTTATAACTTTGTTAATTAATGCTGTTAATTTTTCTACCATTGCTTATCCACAATATTTCAGTAATCATTTTTTATTCCGTCTTTAGGTGCTGCTTTTCTGTTTAAGTTCTTTATTTGTGGTAATTTGTGACATTTCCGGTTTTATCGTAGTTTTTCCCTCCTCTGCATAGAGATTTTTTAGGTAGTAATCCATGTATCATTTTTTATGTGTTTTGTTTCTATTAGTTCCTTTACCTCCGTTGTTTCACATCTTATAATTTTGATGGATTCGACCTTTACTTGATGGAAATTCATTTTATGTAACAATAAAACACTGAAAACTTTGTTTGCAAACTTCCACAAAATTTATTTTAAATCTTATCACTACAGCTGTTTCGGCTGATTGCCTTTCTCAAGTGATCTATTTTTGGCTTGGGTTTACAAATTTATAGTCTCTAATGAAATAGGTTGAGGAGGGGAGAACTGTTTGTCTTAAGTTGGTCATTCAGAATTATATCTGTGTTTTTTAATTTGTTGATTTCCATTGATTCTAACAAAGATAGCTTAAGGACTTTATTTTGAATGTGAAGAATTATAAATTTGTCATGAAAAGACTGATTATGATCTAGAATGTGAAGTGCGTATGTCGAATCTGTTTTTCTATTCTTGAAAGCCCTTTTATGTTCTGCTATTCGTTTATCAAAGTTTCTACCAGTTTGACTGAACCAGGTTTTCTTCGTTGGCTTTGGTCATGGTCCACGTTTTGCATCCGTTTTGAAAAAATAACTATCCTAAAATGCTGCTTAACAATATAGCAATGAGAATTCAAAAGAAGTCAAAGAAGACATGAAAAAATGGAACAGAAATTGGAAGAGAATTGTAGAAAATTAGAAAAGAAAATAGAAGATAATAATAATAAAATTAAAAAACAAATAGAAAAACAAATATATAAAAAACTTGAAGCTGCAGAGAAAAAAGTAGCAAAAGAAATAAAAAATATACGGCATGACTACAAGAAAATGATAGAAAATGAGAGGACAGAAGTAAATAGGATTATTCAAGATAATAAGATAGATATAGAACAAAAAATAGAGTTGCAAAAATGTAACTTAGAAGTTAAAATTAACGAAGACAGGAGAAAGACAGAAGAAAAATTAGACGATATGCAACAAAATATCCAAACAAATAATAATCAAATAAGAAATGTGCAACAGAGAATAGATGATATTTCACAAATGAGAGACATAGGGAGACCTTACTTAAACTTAACAAATGAGATATATATATATATATATATATATATATATATATATATATAGTCCAGTATATAGTATATAAACTATATATATATATATATATATATATTCTCGACCGTACTGTGTTAAATATTATTTGTAGTCTCGGCAATTGGTCTGTATGAAATGAAATTCTGTTTCTCGTTAGATTAGTTCTATCTATCTATCTATCTATACAGCCGTTGCTGTCCAACTTTGTATCCACTTCGGGCCTGCGTGTTTCTTCAAGTCATCCGACCATCTCATTTGTGGCCTTCCTCTTTTCCGTTTGTAACTATATGGTCTCCAGTGTATAATCATCTTATTCCATCTGTCGTCTTTCTGTCTTTTGGTATGTCCAGCGAACTTCCATTTAAGCTTTGCTATTTGCTTTGATACATCGGTCACTTTTATTTTATTACGGATCCAAGTATTTCTTTTTTTTGTCTGATAGCCTGATGTTCAGTATTTGTTTTTTCATGGCTCTTTGGCTCTTTGCTATTTTTTCCATTTTTTCATTTGTAAACGTTCAAGTTTGAGAACCGTAGGTGAGAACAGGAAGTATGCATTGGTTGAAGACTCTTGTTTTTAAATATTGGGGGTATTTTCTATTTTTTAGTATATAGAAAAGTTTTCCGAAGGATACCCAAGCCAACCGTATCCGTCTCTTTATTTCTCCGGTCTGATTTTTTTTTATCTAATTTAACTAGTCCCAAATATACATATTATTCTTTTATTGTTCTATAGTTGTTTGCGCAATTGTTATTATTAATTCTTCTGGTTGGTTGGTCATAATTTTCGTTTTATTATAATTCATTTGTAGACCTATTTTTGTTGATTCGCTATTTAATTCATCCATCATATTTTGTAATTGTTCCCTTTTATCTGTTATTAATACAATGTCGTCTGCAAAACCAAGTGATTCATGTATTGGCCATTTCTGTTAATACCTCGTTTTTCCCATTGTAATTTCCTCATAACGTCTTCCAAAGCTTGATTGAATAGTTTGGGTGATATAGTCTCACCCTGTCTGACTCCTCGCCGTATCTTAATAGGCTCCGTTTGTTCAACTATTTTAATAGATATTGTTGCTTGATCATATATATTGGAAATCAAGTCCCTATATCTATAGTCTATTCTTCCATTTTGTAAAGAGTTCTTTACTGCCAAATGTTCCACCTTATCGAATGGTTTTTCAAAGTCTACAAATGCCATAATACATTGGGATTTGATATTCGTTGGCATTTTCAATTAATATTTTTATCGTAAGCAGATGGTCGCTTGTACAGCATTTTCTAAAACCGGCTTGCTCTCTTGACTGGTTATTATCAAACTTAGTTGTTAATCTGATTGTTAGTAGTTTAGTTAACAGTTTATACATTACATTAAGTAGCGTTATAAACCTGTAGTTTTTCGGATCTTTTCTATCGCCTTTCTTAAAAAGTAATAGTGTTATTGCCTCGTTTCATGTGGTGGGTATTTGTTTTGTGTTCAACATTTTATTCATTAGTATATAAAGGACTTCCATTGTAGTTTTTCCCCGAATTTTTAGCATTTCCACAGTTATTTCCTCTTTTCCAGCAGACTTATTCTTAACTTCTTTGAGTGCCTTTTTATTTCATTTTTACTGATTTCTGGTTGTAGGTCATAATAGTTTTGTTTATTTCTTTGTATTCCATTCTATTTCTGTCCCTTTGTTCTAGTAATGTTCTTCCTGTGTTCATAAGACTCTCTGTTTTTTGAGATATGAAACTTTCTTTCAGTTTCAGTTTATTTCATCGATATGTTTGTGTTCAATATCTTTCTTGGTCGTCAATATTTCCTTTATTCTCTCTTCGTACTTCTCTTTTTCTTGTTTTAGTTTTTCCATGTCTAATTTCTGATTATTTTTCATTTTCTTTCTTGTTTCAAATCTACTATCAATGATCAGCTTAGCTCGGACTAGTCTATGGTCGCTACCAGTTGAGAAGTTATTTAGGGCTGTTACGGCTTTAAGAATGGATTTTTGCGTTGAAAGAATATAATAAATTTCATTTTTAGTTTCACCATTGGGACTAATTCATATCCATTTTCTTTGGGGTTTTCTCTTAAAGAATGTAATAATTGCATATAGTTGCTTCTTCTCCAAGTAATTCATCAATGTGTGTCCTCTATATTTTTTTGTTGTATCCATGGTATCCTACTTTGTCTTCTTCTTTATTATTTAATTGTTCTCCTATTTTGGCATTGAAGTCTCCGAATATTAGCGTTAATTTTAATTTCTTTTTTTCATAGCTGTTTTTATGTCTTCGTAGAAATGTTCGATATCTTTATCGCTATAGGTACTTGAAGCGTACACCTGTATGATTTTTAAGGGTGTTCTTTTTATTTTAAGCGTCGTGTATACTACTCTATCTGATATGCCCTTGGTAGATTGTATGTATTTAACTACTTTTTTATTTATTTTAAATCCTACTCCATTGTTGGTGTTTTCTTCATTACCTTTATAGTATAGCAAATTTCCTGATTTAAGCTATGTTTTTTGTTCTCCTTTTCTTCTTACTTTGGATATGCCGATAATATCCCACTGTATTTTAGTCAATTCTCGGTGTGGGGTTCCGAGTTAGTAACTCTACCCACCTTGGGTCCTATTCCGTTTGTTTCATAATTCGACATGTTTCCTGAGGGTTTTTTTGGCATTAAAACACCTCGCTTGCCAGACGGGTTGGTGAGTTCTGTATCAGCCGCCCACCCTGGGTCAGACGCTGTTCGTAGCCGTCCACTCTGGATCAGACGCTACTGTTTTGCTAGTTTTGGTCCATGCTGGGTATTTCATTTCCCCGGTACCATCCCTATCCGGGAGATTAGTTACATTTTTATAATTGCTTATTATAAACATTTATTAACCTATAATTTTACATGGCAATCCTTGTCGGAACAGGGCAAGTTAAATAAATATATTAATTTAAGAAAATACATACTATATACAAAGCATAACTAATTAACATCTATTTTTGACCACTGATTCATATTTGGCGTGCAAAGATGCATCAAGAAAATACGTCTTTGTTCTTTTAAAAATCAATATTTTCTTTCATCATTGACCGAATTTTCGTCTAATTTGGCCAGGGCCAGTTTTCTATCAGGATAGTTAAGGGGTCCTTTAATTTCCTATATTACAAGGACTGCAAAGCATAGGTTCAACAACATTTTTGCTAAGACATGAGTCTTAGCGTTAAAATCAACTAACACTATTTAGTTCGTTTATTCTAGTGTATTATAAGAAATATTTTATTCCTTTATAATGCTTTTATATTTCCACAAGGAAACTAAGTTCCTGCAGCTGGCTGGATACCATGTATCACAAAAATTTTTTATTGAAAAATCCTTTATAAAAGGTATATAATTATACCTTTTATAAAGGATTTTTCAACAAATTTTTTCTTTTATATTTTCTTTTTCATTCTTCTTATTGGCAGTCGAAGCGTAGATGTGTAATATACTTTCTGAACTTAGGATGAAACTATTCTCAGACCGGTTGAGGTTTTTCCATAGGATTAACCAAACGCCAATTAAATTATTTGGTAGATCATGTAATATGATATATCTATTTTTAAAACGAGAAATTAAATATGCCAACAATATGACAATAATTAAACTTACTCAAAATTAGAAATTGGTTTCTTGTCCCAAAGTCTATGAATAACATCTGTGTAGTTAAATATACTTTTGTCTGCTTTTGTGAACGGGCAAATTGTTATAGCTGGAAATGGTATGGTATATATGGGCCTCTCTCTCGTTGCAAAGCTAACTATAAATGGATTCTCATCATATTTGTAGTATTGTTCCATAATAAAGTAAATTGATAGAGCTATTGCAATGGCAATAAGGGTGATCCACAGGAATCTGAAATATAAGATAGAAAGTATAAACAAAATAAATTCATTTGAATGATGAAAATAATACTTCTATCATAACAATTTTGTCTAGAATGAGATTTGTTGGAAATACAAGCTAGAAATACTCCTATAATACTCCTCCTTTGCCTAATCATTTATTCTTCCTTATTTATATGGAATTAAATTGTAGGTGGAGTTTGATAAACCAAACTTTTAATATATCTCCAAAAAAAAAGTCCATTGATGTTAACCCAGGTGATCTAGGGGGCCAATTGGCAGCACCACCCCTACCTATCCACTTTCCGGGAAATTTTCTGTCTAAATATTCTCTAACGTTACGCGTGTAAAGTGCTGGAGCACCGTCTAGCTGCAGAAACATTGTTCTTCTAATATTTAAAGGGATATTTTGCAAAAGTATCCAAAAGTCTCTTCGTAGAAATCTTAAAAACTTTTGTCCATTTAAATGGCCATTAAAAAAATACGGTCCTATCACATGTTCTCCTATTATTCCACCATATACATTAAGGGACCATCGGTTTTGTCGATCAGTACATCTATATTCATGTTGATTTTCCGTATTATAATAGTGAAAGTTATGTCGGTTCACGAGTCCATTATTATGGAAAGTAGATTCATCAGTGAAGAAAATTTCATCAAAAAAATGTTGATCTGCTCCCGTTTTGTCTAGAAACCATAAACCAAATTCTAACCTACGTTCAAAATCAGTTCCATACAAATGCTGATGCATTTGAATATGGTATGGGTGATATTAATATTTTTTAAACATTCTGCATATACTAGTTTGGCTTACTTTAATCTCCCTGGCCATCGTCCTTGTACTTGTATTTGGATTTTCAATAACTGATTGAATAACTTCTAATTCGGTATTTTCATCTTCAGTTATCGGATTTAGTAATTTTCGTTTAGTATAAACAACACTGCCAGTTTCACGAAACCTTGTTAAGACTCTGTCAAATACTTCTTTACGAGGATGACGTTTTAAGGGAAATCTCTCAGCATAGACTCTGATGCTAACAAACTGTTTTGATCACATTCACCCAGTATTAAAATCATATTTACTCGGTCTTCAATTGAATAATCTGCCATTTCTATTTAATTAAAAGCAATACAGTTGATATTTTGACAATTAGTTTGACAGCTAGGTACCTTTTGTTTTTTTCATGGCATTCTTTATAATAACGAGCTATGTAATTAATGACATTTAATGTTCCAGGTAACATAATGCAAATAGATTGCATTAGATGCATACAGATGCATAAAACAATAAAGATACTAGATATTAATATAAAATTTTATAATAGTTTGATTATAATTGTTACAACATTCAAATACAGGGTTTTTGTATAAGTTAGAGTAGAACTTTATGTAATAAAGTGATAAAAATTAATTAATTTCAAGAATACATAGTGCATTTTCAAAAAAACGCAAATAAATCGAAAATTCTCAAAGATAGGTATAGGGATTGTTTAATAAAGTAATATTATTTTTTTAATTAGAATTCAAAATTAAAGTAAAATACAGGGTGTCCCATTTAAGTTAAGAAAGTAATTATACAAAATATGGTACAGCATTGACACTTCACATTGCGAACACTCTGTAGATTAGTTTCAAATGGTAATTATTCTGATGTAAAGCATGGACACTTGACAATTAACTGACAAAAAGGCGTTAATTAAAATTCATGCCATATTGTGTAATTAATTAATTTCGCGAATAGTACATTTTCAGAAAAACCCAAATAAATCGAAACCGGTCAAAAATAGGTATAGGCAATGTTGAATAAATTAACATTATTTTGTTCATTAGAATTCAAAATTAAAGTGAAATATATGTTGTTCCATTTAAAAAAGTATAAGTTTTAAATAGTATAAGTATAATTATATAAAAGTATAAGTATAATTTTTAATATCTTTAGCCGTGTCCCCGGTAGGCTCCGTCCCGTTGAGCGTGACTCACCCTGTATATATATATATATATATATATATATATATATATATATATATATATATATATATATATATATATATATAAACAAGCGAGTCTTCTACAGCTGGCGCCAGCTGCAGATATATTATATATATATATATATATATATATATATATATATATATATATATATATATATATATATATATATATTTAAATATATATATATATATATATATACATACATATATATATATATATATATATATATATATATATATATATATATATATATATATATATATACGCACCAGTGGATAGCTCCTCCTTATATAGGAAATTTACATTGAATAGGTCCTCCAATGCGGTGGGTCCTCCGTATACGGAGGACTTATCGCAATCATTATAAAAGAAGTCGAAACATCATTCTAAACCATTGAGCAAAATTTCAGATGGGTGAGTTATTGCGTGTTTTTGTACGTTTGAATATTTTAGTTCAATATGATCGCCACATTACTTGTTGTGTCGCCAGTGTCGCCGTATGTTTCGTTACGTATATTCCAATTATAGTTTACCGACCTTAGTTCTTCCTATTTTTATATTACGGTGGTTTAGTCCTCCTCTGAAATAATGATTTGAAAACTACTTAATAGTTTTCCAATCTTTCTTTAAACTTTAAAGTATATATCTATTTCAACAAAAAATCTTAATCAAAGTGGAGAGGTTTTTGGTCACAATAAAACTAATGGTAAAAACGAAAAACAAATTCTAATGTATTCTATTTGTTTTATTGTAATCGAATCTGATTATTTAAGGGCTATATATACTATTGATAATCATTTGGAAATTTCTAACATGGTCTAACGAAAAAAAAACATGTATCTATGTTCGTTATAAATCTTTAATTTTAATAGTTTTAAAAACAAAATAATAAAAATATGAATAAAACTGCAAATATAAACACAAATGAAAATACAAACAAAACTGAAAATTTAAGGGAAACTCAAGACATTCAATACTTTTTATATTCATTTTGAATGAATACCTTTATTTTGAGCCAATTTTTATTTTTTAATAGATCAGATCGTCACATTCTGATTTTTTGGGGAGTCTCTTTTGCTTAATGTGGGTTTTAAAATACATTTTGGCTAGTTTCTTTTAAGTTTCTGTTCACGGAACTAAAACCCTTTTTTGTTTTTTGTCTTCATATCCATTATTCCCTGTTTTTCATTATTACAACGTTCTGGACCTTTTGATTCAATAACATCATTGGTTTCATTTTCTTGTTCCTTAAATACTTCATTAATATGTCCATTATCATCTTTTATAATGTCTTCTTCCAAATTTATCTCTATTTGTTCTAAACCTTTTACCTGCTCTACCTTTCCTCATTAACAGAGCAACTTAGAGATCTTTACAGTTTGATAAATGTCATCGGGGAGTCGATATAAGGATCGATGATTTCTAATGTGGGTCCCATAAATGAAGCCAGTTGCTCCATGTCATTTTCCGATATTGTAAACAACTGGGTTAACGTTGCTACATCTAGTTTTCGCAACCTTGTACATGTAAGAGCACTAGGATTTTTAGCTCCGCATAATTTAGCATACTTTGACATTACTTTATACCATCGAATTGGTTTATCAAATTTTGGATTACCAAAAAGATAAAATCTAGGTATTTTTAAAAGTAAATCTTTACATTTTGTAATAATTTCTAAGTGTTCTTGTACATCCTTACTTCCTAGGACGGCTACACCACGTCCCCTCTTACTTCTTATTACTATTCTTTTAAAACTTTTTATTAAAATTCGTTTGGTTTCTGAAATTGCTTCAGAAAATCTTCATAATATTGATTATCTTTAGCACTAATGTAACTCTGTATAGTTATTATTTCTAATTCACCAGGGCGCCTTCTATTTAATAAGATTAGACGGCAATATACTACAGTTTCTAACAGAAACATGTAAGAATTAATATTATTATTATTTTTCTGTAATTTATCACAACATTCATTTGTGATTCAGACTCAGAGGAGATAGTTTTTCAATAGCATAAGGTCACTTGCTAGTGGTAGTAACGTCACTTTGTTAAATTTTTTCATGTCGTAAATCATTTTCAGCTTGACTGGAAATATCATATTCCCAATTTACTTATATTTTTTGTATTTAGTGTCTTTATTTTAGCACTGACACTTTTAACAGTAAACTCAGACTTTTTCGCATTATGCATAAGTGCTATTATCACAACACTGTTTTTATATAGTGCCAATATTTTTAGCAAATGATCCAGCTTTAAAAGTTTTGCTTAAGTTTTGAAACTATTTTAGTAGGAAAGACTAAAGAATCGTAATATTCTGGTTTCAATGAGTAAAAGAGCGTTTTAGTTGAATTGAGAAACTATTTTTTCTTAGTTCGATAAGAATTTTAGCTACTTTCCCATTTTTCTTGACGCCATTGGTATAAAGTATTGTTCTCTATGGATCTTTAAATATCTTGAGCCAAACGCACAAATGAGCGGATCTTTTTTAGCCACGAAGAATACATTATCTGTTGGCATTCGATGAAAAACAGCTTCTTTTAAATAATTATGTGTCCAATTTAAGGTGCCTTAATAAGAAATTTTGTACTTGTGATTGGGAATTTCTGGTTATTGAATCAGGATTACATATTTTTCTGTGACGCCATAAGTTTTTTGCAGAATACATGCCGAAGCAGTGGTCACACGTTAGGTAGTTTGTATCTGCAGATCCTTTCCTAACTGGTTTTAAATTTGCTGAACCTAATAAATAGTTTTCCTTTTTGCTCAAAGCAAATAACAATTGCATTCTCGTTTTACTTCTTGGAGGGTAAACCAAAATTATTTGAACTTCTAATTCGCTTTAATATTATCGTATTATATGCCTGGGAAAATTTAATACAACTGATTCACAAAAGTAACAAAAAATAGATTGTTTTAAAAACTTCACATTTATATTGCAAGTTTCTTCCACGTTGATCGATATTTAGGCTGACAGAAGACGAAGGTGAATTAAATTGTTGCTAAAAAGTATGTGCTTTGA